AAATCCTACTTCTGATCGGCTTTATAGCAGTGAGGTAAAAACTAAAGACTAAAATGACACTTAATGCCAGCAGCCTTATTTCTGAAATTCCTCCCTGCTATTTCAAAGCATTAAATAAATTAATTTGTGACTGTGTGTAAAGCCTTTCTGTATCAAGGCATTAGGAAATTAGAAATTTGTGAAGGAAGATTTCATCTAAAAGGCAGATAAACACGGAAATTGGGGGAAATCCCAGAAAATACAACTACTCATTAGATTTGGCTCTCATGAACCAGCATATGTTTAGATACACAGCCCTAAAGTACTGCTTTATCAGCCAAATTATGGGCTTACATTTATGCTAAGTGTCATGGGATTGCAACAATAACAAGTAATTACTGGGGATGAAGACAAGAATGACACACAGGACACATGAAAGGGACTACAAGAATGACACACAAAAGCTGAAAAAGTGGAATTAAAACCAACCAAAAATTAGTGAGACATTTTAACCAGATGGTATTTCCTCTTCCTAGCAGTCTGATGTGTTAAAGCCAAGCACATGCGCTATGACAGCAGATGGAAATCACACAGCTTTGTTTATGTTTGGGACCTACAGTAGTAAAGGGAACCATTCAAATTTGAACAGAAAATAATTACCCACAGCCAAATAAATGGGTGAGGTTTTGAGAATACCAGTCCACAACTGGGCAGGAGTTATAGTCAGTAAAAAACTCAGGACAATTCAGCAATAGGAAAACCTTGGAGGGTTCACTAAATCACACTCATGATGGAAAGAACTGCTTTGAAACTCTTCTGCCTTCTACCTCCTCTCCTCAAGGCTGCATCTGACCGCAATGCATTTTTTAACCTGCCAAACACATTTTAGCAAAGCCATTTTGTTTTCTTTCCACTTCACCCAAGTTAGTCATACTCTTCCTAATAATGGCAATCTTTGGCCACCCCATGATCTATCACAAAACCTACTCAAGGCAGCTAGAGGATAACTTTAAAATTATTAGTCTTCAAAGCATCTCTCGTGCTGCTGTAGCATTTCTCCTTTTAAAGTTCTCCAAACTCTTTGCAAATACTGATTAATGAATCATGCAATATTTACCCAGTTGCCTGGAAAACAGGTACACCTTTCTTAACAGCCCAAACTAACAAGAAGCAAATCACTTGCAGAGCCAGGAACATAAGCTGGGACTCTCAGCTCAATTATTAACATGGTATGTCCCCAGGCATTAGTCCCAAACTCAGGATTTACCAATCTACAACTTTGTGCTCTATTCCTGATACCATGCACCTTACCAGGCATGATTAATTCAATATTCCACCATTCATTCAACATCAAATGCCTCAGCAAGAAATTCCTAATTAAAACACAGAAAGGCTAGAATAAAACATATTTTTGTCACACTGTTTGTGGATCTTCTATTTACAAATCAAATAGCTCCACGTTTAATTGTGTACAGAGCCACATATGCTATCTCAGCACACAAGAACCAACAGTAATCACTTCAATGCCACATGCAATTCTTGTGCTGCCCCTTCATCTCTAGAAGGAGGCATCTATTTGCCTGTTCAAATTGACTGAAATCTCTCAGGAACAAGGGCCTTATCTGCAATACTGCACACAGAGGCATCCCTGGGTGTGTTGCATGGCCCTGCTTCAGGATGGCACTTAACTCCAGTGAGCCTAACTGCACAGGGAAGACAGGTACCTGGCACTTCCCAGCCCTGCATGTTGTAAGCCCAGGCACTCTGGAAAGCCCTGCTATTCTGCTGCAAACTGACAAATTAAATGGCAACCTCCTCTACTCCACACTAATAGTCTCAGCAAGAAACCAAGCATTTAGCCACATTATGCTGAAAAACCTTCCTGGTGTTCCCAAGAGCAATAAACCTAGCACTGAAAGCTCAAGTCTAGCTTCTGCCCCATACCACAGACCTAACAAAAACCGAGGCCAAGGAGCACAGTTTCCATGTAAGCAACTCAGGCTGCCCACCTCCAGCTACACACCTTCAGAGTCTCTTCTGCTGTACAAAACACAGAACATACTGCCAAGACTTAGCAATCCATAATGATCTCCACCAGTGAAGCAGTATGTTCTTGCTTTCTCCTGAAAATGAAGGGAAGGAGAAGAATGACTAGAAACAAACAAAAAAAAAAAATAAAAGTACACCACCAATAAAGAAAAAGGCAAGAAGACGACTGCTGTCATCGCCACAGGGAAGCAGAGCCACAAACCACAACTCTGCATGCATGCCAGTCGTGCCAATGCCTGGATCTGAAAGCAAAGAAGTCCATTACAGCAGGATGTGAAGAGCAAAGCCAAAATTCCCTGCTAAATATTGCTGCCAAACAAGCCATTTCTTGTCAGTATTTGTAAAACAAATTGAGCCTGTGCTGTAAATATCCCTGCATCTGTGTGCTGTTTGTTTCGGCATGAAGACTTGCAAATAAGCCTCACAGCATACTTGCAGTGGGAGAATGGCTTGAGCAACTCTGGAAGGACTGAGCTGTTCAGGCCTTACAGCTGGCCCTTTGTGACCAGTGACAGCACTACTGCAGCCTCTCATCCTATCACTGCAGTGAGTGATACACACACAAAAATCAATAGAAAAAATAAAGGTGGCAATAAGCAAACGAAAGAAAAAAATCTTTAGAGGAAAAAAACTGTTTAAAAGTTATCTCAACATTACGAGATTAAGCTGAGAATGCTTTAAAGGTTTAACAAAGTAACCACAAAACTTGGTTCACGCTCAACCTATTTGTAGAGGGTTTTTTGCATGCATCAAGACCTTCTCTGACACAAGCCAGTCTTCCTTTTTCCTTGCCCCATAAGGCAAGTTCACAAACTCTGTTAGGACATCCCTCTGCAGGTGGAAGAGACGGAAGAGACATCTCTGACAAACTGCCAGCTACAGCTGGACAGATCATCTGTTTTTTTCCAGGTTCTTCACAAATAAGTGATCTGAAAGGAAGCACTGCTCAACCCTTGAAGACAGAATTACAGCTATTGCTATCTTACAGCACACTCCCACTGCCTGTCACTCTGCAAATAGCAATTTTATTGTGATATTACTGGCATCAAAGCAAGTTTTGGGAACCTACAAATCTATTCCCAGGTCTCCCTACCTCTTAGAGCATAACCTTCACCAGGTTGCTTCCCTCTTCGGCAATAACTCACCTTTCATTACAAATAGGAAGCTTAACTTATTTCTCCACCGTGGTCAGAGGAAAGACTCTGCAAGTACCAAGCTTCCTATGAAACGTATTAAAGTACTACCTGCAGCAGACTTTAAAATACATATCTTGCAAGTAAGTTTGTTATGAAAGTTTGATTTAGATGACAACATTTTGAAAAGGAGAGCATATTAGGGTCTGACAAATTGAAGCTTACTTTGCAGCAAAACCAAACAACACATTTCCCTCCTCATCACCATCACTTAAAATCTCAGGAGCAGAGACTGACCTGTTGAACTAAGAGACAAAACTTCCCTGAATTTCAAACTGAAGTCCTAAACATTGAATCTTTCCTTGTTCAGTCCGTAGATGGTTATTGCCTAGTTGTATTATAGTAGCATTTTGAAGGGCCAGATGAAAAGCCTCATCAAGTTATATGCACATGCCACATGCATACATATATGGTTAAGCAGTAAGTCTCCCAACACAGAACTAGCCTGAACCAAAATGGAAACCAAAGACACAAAAAGGCAGTGACCACTCCATCGTGACAAAGGGGGCCAATTAGAAACTAAAGCCAAGAAGCTGGCCCAGTATCCTATTTACTAGCCCTCATTACTGACAACCAAAAACTGTTCATCAGTGCTTTCATTAGAAAAGGAGACTGGACATCAGAGGTATGCCAGATCTCCACTCAACCTTCTCATCAGTGTCAATACAATTTATTTGCTGGCTTTTCAGCAGGTGGGAAGTGGTACAGTCTTCACTGACCTCTGAGGAAGGAGCTGCTTTCTGCCAGCGGATGACTTTGAACACAGACCTCATTATCTGCTGGGCAGAACTTAAAGTGTCTGTGTATTGGATGAGCCCAGCAGAATGCAAACAGAAGGCAGAAGCAGAGGACTCCATGGGAGAGATACCTGCTTGATGGCAGGGGGAGCACAAGATACCTTAACCAACAACAAAAACTTCTGGATCACTGCTTGATGGATGGAGGTTGATTTTAAAAGTGCAGTTTTAAGAGAGCCACATGATTTTCAGAGCTGACTTAGATTTGTGCACAGTGTACAATTTGCTCATACCATGGCAATTCACCTAAACACACAGATAGGCAGCAAGCTGCTCCTCTACAGCACAGCAAGGAGATTTGCCAGCTGCAGGCAAAGCTCTGAAAGCTGCAGAGGCAGACAGGCAGTACAATACACAAGCTAAAACCACAGGCAATGTGTTACTGACCAGAACCACAGTGGAGGCTTTAACATCTGCAAACCAGAAACTACACATCTCTTCATTCCTCCGCACACAATCAACCACTTAGAGAAACAAGTTCCCCTGCCCTCACATTAAAAACTGCCATGAACCTATACAAGCACAGAGGAAGTTCATTTGATTGAGAAATACAAATGGGTGGACACTTCAAAGCCAGGCAAGCAGCCCTACTGCTTGTGCAATGTTTGCTATCAGAGCAGAACTGCACTGACCTCCAGCTGATGGAATTTCTCCTCCCCCGGCTTGTGGGAAATCAGAGCAGTCAGAATTTCCATGCTACGTGCCCCCCCGAATGGCAATGCTAGCTGGGGTCCCCAGCTTCAGGCTGAAAAGCATGCTGTCAGAGAAGTGACAACAGCCATAAGGAAACAATTATTCCCCGCCACTGGTCTGAAGGAAGAGAGGATGGTAAGATATAGGCACCCTACAGCTATGAAGACACTGAACAGAGCAACGCTTGCTCAGTTAGGGGCAAAAGTTTCAGAGCTGCTAAAAAAAGCCACGTCAGCAATAAAAGCCAAAAGGGAAGAGGGAAAAAAAGAAGGAAAAGTGTGACACATACCCACAGTCTATCCAGCTTATAGTGCCTCGTCCTTTCACCTCCTGGGCTACGCTGGACAGCAACCTGAGTGAGCTTTCCGCAGCAGCAGCTGCAAGACAAAATAAAATAGTATCAAAAATTAATCAACAACAGCATTATCACTCCACACAGAAAAACACAATGGTGCATTCCTTTGTTCTGAAGCACTGGAAGAACATTTTGTCTAATTTGAAGAAACCAGTATGTGAGGGATCAGTAAAATCTTCTGTAAACTAGAAGAAATGCTGGCTGCGGCTAATGTTGGGTGGCTTCTTCCCTCCATCCCCCTTAAACAACACACTGAAATTCATACCTCCAGGCATGCTCCCTGACCTACATTCATGGAATTATACTATGTCCTCTCCTGCAAACTGGCTTTCATCCCAACACTGCCTTCTTTCTGTGGCTGGGCACTAACCAGTTTGTATCACTGCCTGCTAATTAAAGTCACTTCATTTAGGACCATCAGCTGCAAGGGCAAACCATTCAGCATCTCTGCCTGCTTCAATTGCCCTGTCATACACAGAAAATAACACAGTTATTCTCATAATAACTCTGGAGATACCCAAATTAACAGTTGTGAGGAGCTCAAAACTATTAGCAGAGAGCACCCACAAAAGGTCCTTCCAAGAGCTGTCTGTACTAGAAATATCCAACTGAGATTTTTATAATGCCATGCCACATGAAGCGCTTTGCAAAATCCACACCATTCCAGAAGAGTCTTATAAATGGCATTAAAAATAAACACAGAAGAATCTAACATCAAAACTAGATCTAACAGAAACTGTTTCCTGCCTCAATAAACATAAAACAGAAACACAGAGCCTCTTCCAGATCTGTTTAAACTGCTGCTGCTCCAACTACTTCAACTGAGTATAGGAACAGCTATATTGGGTCAAACCAAATGCTCTTATAATAAACCACTATCTGTCTCCAACATTTGAGAAAGTGAAGGCCTACATAGGTCAGAGCAGGCAACTAGAAACAGTGGGCAGTGATAGCCTCCTCAGTGTCTAAACTGCCGCAATTTTTGTCTCAACAATCTCTTGAGTCAGAAACAGCTTCTTTTTCTTTGACAGCCTTTGCATGGGCCTGATGCCATCAGAGATGCCAGCCCACACATTAGCTCTCAAGAAACTATCCTACCCCAATACAGATAACATGCAACTGCCACCTCTCTGTAACACAGGGATGTAGACACATGGGGGAATTCTTCACACAAAGTGGGATAGTTTGACAAACACCTTTTAAAAAATAAGCATTCAGGATAGGACAGACTTGTCCCAGAAGACTCGCTAGTTGAGCAGCCCTGGCAGGATACCCTGCTGGTAAGGTGAACTCAACATCTCCTACAAATGAGGACATCTCCTAAACCAAATGAATCTTCTACGCGAGACAGAAAAGCTCATCTAGTTCTGCTCAGTTGAGAAGCAAAGCCTTTGTTCCAGCAGTATGATCAGATGCTGACCAACATCTCATTACAGCTGGGGGTATGTACCTGTTTTAGAACTGCACCTCGAAATTCCTACCTCTTTTTTCCCCTTCCCTCTTTCTGGATGACAGCCAAGAGACTTCTAACTTTGCAAGGACCACTGTTCTAGGAAGAAACATTAATCCCACAGTCAGCTCCATATGCAATCCTTTAGACTGCTAAAACTAATCAATTAAGTAACAAAAACAGAAAAAAAGAAATTTCCACAACACAGCTTCTGAACAGTGCCCATAGGGCAACATTTATTTGATGAGTGTCAGAGCTGAAGTGTTCTGATTGTGCCGCTAAAAATGAAAGCAACCACCGCTTAAAACATTAAGTGTAAAAAGAAAATTTTCCCTTTCAAAAGCTGAATAATAGAGATCTCTTTTTTATCTGAAGTGTTCCTTTCAAAATCAAAAGGCATTAGAAACTCTTTTATGACTTTTACTTTGAACCTGTTACTACGAAACCATTTAGCCAAGTTCACACACTCAGTCTCCCACTATGGCAAAACACAAATGTCTTAACAAAAATTAAGTCAGATGTACCATTTTAACTGTTTCAGAATATCTTTAGGAAATAAAAGTTAATTATCCCAGCATCTGCACATTTTTGTCTGGCTAGTTCTCTGATACTGGGGGGGTGGGGGAGGATATTGTGTCATCACATACTGTTCCAATTTGCCACATTATAAACCCAAAACAATCACCAATGTCACTAAGTTTGAGATAAGACCTTTGCAACAGGTCAGAAAACGAGAACACAACCCACAAACAAAGTCTTATCTTGTACTGCTTGCCTGGAGGAGCAAAAAAGAAGCAACAACAAAAACAATGCAGCACTAAGGAAAAAATCATCTTAGTGATGTATTTTAATTCTTGCTCTCCAATGACTTCCACATCCACAACAGCATTCTGCACTTGCGTTTGGAGCTTACAGATTGTTTCTTCATTTTACATGGTGTCACACAAAACAACAAACAAAAACAAACAAGGCAACAACGGAGACAAGGTATAGCAAAAGCAGAATAAAGCAAAAGGAAGAGCAAACAGGCAGGTAAGGAAGAGTGAACAGCCAGGAAAGATCCTGAAAGACAGAGGACTGTAGCATGACAGTAGCGTCACATGAAATGAGCCGTTTCTCCCTCCTACACAAGCAGCTCATTTTTTATTTTTATATTTTGTTAATTAAAGTTGAAATACAACCATGGGACACTCAAAGCTGTCAGAAGCAATGATGGATTGATTTTAGTACTATAACTCTTCATTAAGTCTTTCAGTGTCACCAGGAAATTGAAACTTGCAAACTACTGTGATAAACACACCAGAAAACTCTGGCTGAGAGCTGTTACGAGCTGCCGGTTTTGGACACAAAGCCAGAATAAAGTGTATTTTTGCCAATGTCACAGAGCAATTAGAAGATCAGATCAAGACACCGCCAACCTTGAAACATTTGGAGACTCTGACCTAGAACAAAGACACCAGTCCTGAAGAAGCCCTTGTAGTCACACAGAAGCACCCTGAAGTCACATAAGGCAATACTGAACACAGAGCAAGTAAGGGCTTAAGTCATCTAAGCATGTACACAGATGTTCAAATGCACACACCCTGCTGGGCACACAGAGCTGTGACACACAAAAGAGGACTTACCAGATCTGGAATACAGCACCAGTATGTTATTCCGTGTCCTGAGAAGCTTCTTAAAATCCTTGTGGTCACTTATTTTTTCTATGAGTGGAGACACCTTCAATGAGTACACGAACACTGGCAAAAATGCCTACAGAAACACAAAGCCAGAAATATCAATAACAGGTTCCATGCTGAGAAAATACAAAGACAAACTGCTTTTGAAATTGCCTTGACCTTTTTCCATAATCTTGAGACACGCTGCCTTAAATAAACTATCATATCAATTTCATCAGCAAAAGCCAAAGAAATAAAAAAGCTATACACATGACTTACTGAAACTGGAACAATACCACTCCCAACAAGCATCCTTAAGTGGAAAGATGAGATAAACACAACAGCAAGAAATATGGTTTTAGTTAAGAAGCCTCCCCCTTTAAACGTTTGTTCCCTAGGCAGATAATCAGACAAAAATTCTTATGTACATTTAATATACTGTAATAAAAGCAGCAGATTGCCACTTGGAGAGCACTCTTATCCCTAGATCTCAGAATACACTGAAAACTCAATCGAGTACTTTGGCATCCCACAGAAGACAGCAAGAGCCATGAAGTTAAAATAACTAACCCACACTGACACAGAGCAGATGAAGGAAATGAAAACACAATTTGTAGGTAATCTAGCACCCACACTACAGCACTAACCACAACCCTCTCCCACTCACCTTTCTGAAGTGGAACAGGGCTTATGTTTCCCAGAGGTGATACTGTACTACACACACATGCACAAGTGCCTTTGCCACAAGATCAAATTTAGCTTCCACTGGCCACACAGAAGGCACAGCATTTAATCTCTTTGCATCTCAGTTCTGTACCTATGCAAAGGCAATTTTTTTGCTGTTGCATCTTTCAGTCTATTTAAATCGTGACCGCTCCAGAGAGGTCTTTTATCCTACCATGAATTAAAACCACCAAAATATGACCATAACCTTGTCTGAAGCCTCTATTGCTAATTTGTACTGCAATAATCCTCAATAATAATAATAATAATCTTAACCATCAAGCTATGCTGTCTCCCTTCTGCACTGTACTGAATTCATACTAATGGAATGATTATGGGAAGCTTAGCTGGAGAAATTATCTAGTTTACATTCACCTTACAGTAAAACCTTAACACTTAATTGCTTGGCTAAAAGCTTTAGCTCATTTGCCTAACACACACATGAGATTCAATGTTTTCTTAATTACAGAACTAATTTTGATCATGACTCACTCCAACTGGGCTGGAAAATGTGTCCAGAGTGAATGTGAAGAAGTAAGAGACTGTTGTTCTTGCATCCCATGCATTACAGACTGCAGCATACAAAACAAGGCACTAAGTCAATCAAAGTCAGAACATGCAGCCCCAGGCACTACACGTCATTACAAATTCAGCTATCTGCAAACACAGAAAGAAAACCTGCACTTCCAAAATATACTTCGTAAGTGCTACGAGTTTTTACATGTGGAAAAGGGAAAGGGAGTTTTGGGACACATGAGGTAAAGGAAGAAGCTGAGCTGAAACAGAGGTCATCCTCAAAACAACCCCAGGACATGTTCAGGAATTTAAAGTTGCTACAAGATACACCTATAACATCAAATATAAAAGCATGACAGGCTGCACAGGCACAGAATGAAGAAATTATCCCACTCTGCAGGCAGGATTCTCACCGCTGAGCCCCGCTGACCAGATGGTCTAACTGTGAGAAGGGAAAAAGCACATTTGCAAGTCAGTCCCTACCTTCAGCATAAATGTCCTTGATGCTTTAATTCAACCAACAGACTTGCACTCTTCTAAATCCAGGTGTCCACAGCTCAGCCTTCCTACTTCAGGCTGATGTATGTGAATCATTCATGTATTTCCTGAGATGAATACACAGTGTTGCCAATCAAAGTAGACGAATACAGTTGTGCTAAGTGAGGTGACACAGACATGCAAATTCCTGCTCAACACTCAACGCAATCAGAAGCTGGCAGAGGAAGGATTAATCTAACACTGACTTATGAGCAGATCTCTTTAAACCTGGGTTTTGGGGGTTTGCTCTTTTTTTTTTTTTTTTTCCAAAACATTTCCCTTCACCTCAACTTTTTGTAACCCTCCAAGTGTCTTAAAGGCTTATTTATGTCTCAAGTTACAAAAGACTAAAACTATTCTGAAACTAAGGTTGAACACAGATGGGGAAAATGAAATTATAGGTTACTTCTTTAGTTTAGAAAACTGGACTCAATTAAAGATATTCCAGTCTACGAAATCACTGGCAAAAATAAATAATTGGACTAAAAATGCCACAAAGGCCACTTTCAACCTGACACCAAATGGCATTATGAATATTGCTTAAAATACTGATAGCTCTGAAGTACATGTACTTCATGCCATTTCCAGATAGAAAGGCTGCTTAGCCATTTTCAGTGAATTTTCCTCCCTCTCCTCCCCCCCCCCCCTTTTTCCTCTTTATAATGGCAGAGCTATAAACCTCTTGAAAAATTGGATTCTGGAAATGGTGACAGCTTTAACTACTGGCTTGTCAGTATTGCCACTAAAGAAAACTCACTGTGCTGGTGGAAGAGCAGGTGTTTGGAGGGAGAGGCACATCACATTGCATATAACCACTGCTACTTTGTCCAATTCCTTCCCAGGTATCAAATCAATACATGTTACTCATTTTCCTGCTGTTTTACTACAGCAGCTCCCTTTGATCCTACGGTTTAAACCAAAACCCACTGGGAAAGGCATTGTGCATACAAGTGCACCAGTCAGCCCTGCTGAATAAATCATCACCTCCCTTTAATTAAGATTAATGTTGCAGCCTTTTCTGGTTGTAACACCCTAAAGGTCCAAGCTGAAAGCATTGAGTTAGACAGAAACACCCTGCCTGCACATCTAAGGCAGCCGTAGCAGTACTGGTAGATTATCAGCTGAGCAGAAACGTTCACCACCTCCCAACGTGCATTTATGCTACATGATGTTTCCAACTGGTAAGAACTAAATAATTTCACTCTCTCCAGCTTTTTCCTGCTGAAATTAACGAAGACCCTACCCAGGAACAAATGAGAGGCCGATTTACCCTTAAACCTCTCAAAGAACCTCTATCTTTGCTACCAGCTGCACTGAAGGCAAGTGATGGCAAGCAGTCATTTTCACCCAATGCCAGTCCCAGCCATGGGGCTGCTTTGCCCTGCACTAGAGACAATGCTATGATGACTGTGCCAGCAGCTACAGTTCTGGCAACAGCATGAAATTAAGGGGATGGGGAAAGAGAATCCTATGAAAACAGTTACACGCTCTTCTTCATGGAAAACCAGGCTCATATTTCTGCACAGCCCACAGGCATAGTGGCAGCAAAGATGAGGCTCATTTGCATGTACTGTGCTATATGACTTTAATTGTGAGATATGACTCAGGTAGATTTATTCCAGACATTTTACAGGAGAGCTCATCAGCGAGGCACTGGCCAATCAAGCAGGCTGCTTCTTGTTTAAATCCAGGGCAGAAGAGGAGATAAGCTCATATTAAAAAAAGAAGAGGTCAAGAAAGGTGACAGTCCCTCCTGGGCAGGAAGCCTCTTTTCATATGCATCAGGAAGTGCTACATTCACACATATGGAACGCTATAAATAAGAAACAGGCTAAACTCTCTTGTCACTTGAGCATGCCGAAGCTTTAAAATCTATTCACAACCACTGCTGAAAAGTCAAGAAATACTCCAAACATTTTTCTGAAGAAGCCGCCTACCTTGGTACCTGTTAAACTTAGAAGGCATTAGGACCAACACATGCAACATCTGTGCCCCTCCTGCCATGTGACAGTTATTCCGACCAGAAAGTTCAGTAAAACTGAGGGAAGGTCTATTTTATTGCAGGCTGTGTATGTATGGTGCCCAGCACAACGGGTCTTCATCCATGGCTGGCTCAGTGAGCTGGAACCAACATAAGAATCACCTGGTGCTCTCAGACACAGGAAACTTTGGCGAAGACCTTCGGAAAAAGGCAGACTACAAGTGGCAGACTACGAAATGCAAATCTGGTAGCACTTCTAGTCTGCAGATTTTCCGCAGCTCAAGATCTCAATCTGAATTTATTTTCACAGAATTTTTTATGGCGTAGGTCGCACATCAGTCATGTGATTGTAGCGTCTGATCTAGATGCATGAAGGATTCTCAAGTAAAACACAAGTGAGCCCAAACCCTCAAGACAGTCAATTCGAAACTGCTGACAGTCACTGTTACTCAAGTACAAGGTAGGAAACCGCATGTTCTCTAGCTCTGCTTCTGCTCTTTAAATCAAAGGATGTATTTAAATATATAACCTTGCAAGCTAGGTGGAAGAAATGTGATCAGTCAGAAAGGTTTAATTTTCCTTTCTCTTCCCCACTTTCCAGCAATTCCTTGCAGAGCTCCAAGGATCTTTAACATACAAAAGTGTTAAAGAGCAGTGACACACTCCACAAGCCCACTCCCTTAGAACTGGTACCCAAGAAACATCTGAGCTCTCAGAAACCCAGACGGAGTTACAGGCAAATAACTATTTGCTAATTATACTTCCAGTACTGACACTATTGAAAAATGTGGTCACCCCGCAGGCCGCGTTTTCTCAAAATCATCAAGTATCTGAGAGAGCAGAGTTTATTTCTCAAGATTTTACTATTTTCTGAATCTCATTTCAGAATGAAAAACAGGAATATCTTTCAAGAAGCCACATGCATGTATTTTCATATTTTACATTTATTATTCAAATTAAACGTGATAAATGCTTAACTGCTGTTCTCACAGAACCCAGTTCAATTTATGAGTTGCTCCCCACAAAAGCTTCATGACAGCATGGTCTTTTGCTAAGGATAAGCAGCATGTGTGGAGAATTATTTATTTATTTTAAATCAAAGGCAATGAAAACACATAGCTTAAAAAGAAAAAAATACAAATCAAAATTAAATAAGGGGGAACTATCAAAATGCACTGAACAGAAAAACTATTTCCTATTTCTCCTATTTCCAGCTCAAGAGCATATAAAATATATTTCCCTGGACACAAGTTATGCATTAAAAAAAATGGAAATGGACACGTGGCTGAAACAGTGCTTAGATGCCTGAATCTATATGTCAACATACATTTTTTATG